TTTTTTTTTTTTATCTTAGTCGCAAAATGGGAAATAATTATCTCATATTCCTTATCTCACCCCACCATATGTTATGCGATTCGAATTCAGAATTTTTTACTTTTAGTAAAAAAAAAACTAATGAATTATTTAATTTATTGGCACATAAAAACTTTTAATTAAAGGTTATGTTATAGAAACATTTTTATATTACATTTTCATACAACTTTTACATATCATTAAATGAATAAATATATTTAATATCACAAGTTTCATATAAATTTAAAAAATTAATCATTTTAATAACACATTAATATAAAAAAAATAAAAAAATGGTAAAAAAAACATTTCCCTTTAATTAAACATTGAAAGTCAATAATTACCGACAACAGAGGAATTTTTCCGCTAAGTTCACGGTCTGTGTTTAGGTGCCAGCTGGCGTCATTAATTTTCTCAAGAGTCAATCTCAATCAAGTGCTCGCATGTAATTACCGTACTATTACTTCTTCTCTTAAAGTAACTGTGTTGTTGACTTTAAATTAATAAATATATTTTAATTTTAACTCTATTATTTATTTATTTAAATTAATTATTCAATTAAAAAATCTCTTTCTATATTTTTTAAAAATAATATGAATAAATGTGTATAAATATTTCCTTTAAAATTTTAATTTAATAAAAAAGGAGACAAGAAGTAGTAGATAAAGTTAAATGGAGGAGGGCTTTCGGGTATTTTGCTCCCGCCATTACCGCTCAACAGTCCCTTCCCTCCACTGTTTTTGTTTGCGGAGTGCAACCTGACGCCAATGTGGTGCACGGAGCAGAGACAAACAAACAACACCGAAACAGTAAGCGGTAAAAGATAGAGAGTGGAAAGAAAGAAACAAAGAAATTGGTTCCGAGGTCTTCTTTCTCTCTGCGGCCAATTCGTCCAGAAATCCGTTCTGAGAGAGAAACGAAACAAGCTCTCCTTTCGCGCAAAGCAATGCCTCTTCGTTCCTGAATCCAATGGTCATTTTCTCTCGTATCTTGACGATTCGTTCTCCAAGGTACTAAAAAATTAGAAGAAAAGGAAACAAGAATGTGAAGAATCAGACCTCAAAATAAGAGAGAGACTACCGTGAACAGGTGAGTGTTTCGTTCCGCGCATTTTTCTTGTCATTTCTATCCTTTGATTCCTGAATCTCTGAGCTCTTTCAGTTTTTTTTTTTCTTTTTTTGGCATAATTTTATATTTTTATGTTTTTTTATTCTGATTTCGCGTTGTTTGGTTGCCTCATAAAGAGCTCAACTGCATGTAGCCTTTTGTAGTTTTTATTTTTTGAAAACTTTTTTGATGGATAATTTTTGTTGATTCTGCTTCATCTTGAAGAATTCAATCAAATGATATCTTTTGATTATAGTTTTTCGCATGTTCTTTCTTT